CTTTGCCAGGTGTCCCTGGATAGAACACAGGCAGTGGCTGACCTTGCCCCAGAGCCAGCACACCCAGTGGACAGCTTCAGACAACATGGAAACACCACCACCCAACCACCTCCACAAGTGACACACTCAATGAATGGACTCAGTGGGTACCACAGCCCTGATGAAGTAAGTCTTGCTCTGTGTGGTGCACCCCTACACAGCTGATTACTCCAAAGTAGTCAGAAATCAGTGATCAGTGGGCACAGCTAGTACTTGCAGCTGATCAGCCTGACTAAATCCCTCCCATTAACATGCCAACAGCAATCAAGACTCAATTACAATAGGGTGTACAGTCCACACTAGGGATGCACCTTGAGGGCCCGGCTGGGGTGATCAGAGAGGTTGTGCCACTGGATCCTACAGGACACCTACAACAATAGGCTACCCTATGAAGCCTAGGAGACATAGCAACTCTACCTAATACATAGAAACAATCAGAGGGAAGCAGCCAAAATGAGGAGACAAAGAAAGAAAAGAACAAAATGTCCCAAATGAAAGAAAAGAACAAAACTCCAAGAAAAAAATTAAACAAAATGGAGATAAGCAATCAATCAGATGCAGAGTTCAAAACATAGGTTATAAGGTTGCTCAAGGAACTTGGTGAGACATTCAAGGAACTTAGTCGGAACTCCAAGGAACTTAAGGAGACTTCCAAGGAACTTAGAACATCAACAACATAAAAAAGGACCAGTCAGAAATGAAGGATGCACTAACCAAAATAAAGAATAATTTACAGAAAATCAATAGTAGAGCAGGTAAAGCCAAGAAGCAAACCATCGATTTAGAATATAAGGAAGCAAAAACCACCCAGTCAGAACAGCAAAGAGAAAAAAAAATAATCCCCAAAAATGAGGACAGTGTAAGGAGCCTCTGGGACAACATCAAGTGTGCCAACATTCACAACATAGGGGTGCCAGAAGGAGAAGAGTGAGAACAAGAAATTGAAAACCTATTTGAAACAATATTGACAGAAAACTTCCCTAACTTGGTGAAGGAAACAGACATATAAGTCCAGGAAGAACAGAGATTCCCGAACAAGAGGAACCCAAAGAGGTCCACACCAAGACACATCATCATCAAAATGCCAAAGGTTAAAGACAACGAGAGAATATTAAAAGCAGCAAAAGAAAAGCAGTTCGTTACCTACAAAGGAGCTCCCATAAGACTCTCAGCTGACTTCTCAAAAGAAACTTTGTAGGCCAGAAAGGAGTGGCAAGAGATATTCAAGGTGATGAAAAGCAACGGCATACAACCAAGATTACTCTATCCTGCAAAGCTATCATTTAGAATCGATGGATACATAAAGAGTTTCCCAGACAAGAAAAAGCTAAAGGAGTTCATCATCACCAAACCAGCATTATATGAAATGTTTAAGGGTCTTCTTGAAGGAGAACAACAACAAAAATATGAACAATGAAATGGCAATTAATACATATCTATCAACAATCGAATCTACAAACAAAATGAGCAAGCAGAACAGACACAGACTCATAGATACAGAGAACTTTTTGTTGCTTGCCAGATTGGAGGGGGCTAGGGAGATAGGTGAAAAAGATGAAGAAATTAAGAAGTACAAATTGGTTGTTAGACTGATGAACCTCAAAGGGAAGTGGGGAGGGAGGGCAGGAAGAGATAAACCAAAGAACTTCTTTGCATACCCAATAAACACCGACAACAGTGTGGGGAAGGCAGAAGGGGGTGGGATTGGGGAGGAGGGTGTCAATTGGGAAAAAAGGGGGAACATCTGTAATACATTCAACAATAAAGATGAGTTTTTAAAAAATAAAAATAATAAAGAACTCATACAGCTCAACAAAAGAAGACAGATAATCCAATTAAGATGTGGGCTTGAGCTTCCCAGTTTGACTCAGAATTTATAGTGTCAGCCCTGGGACTGAAGGGTCATGGGCTCCATTCCCAGTAAGAGCAAATGCCTGTGTTGCAGATTCAATCCCCTGCCCCAGTAGGAGTCGTATGGGAGGAAACCACTCAATGTGTTTCTTTCACATTGATGCCTCTCTCTCTCTCTCTCTCTCTCTCTCTCTCTCTCTCTCTCTCTCTCTCCCCCCCCTCTCTCCCCCTCCCATTCCCCTCATTCCCTCTCTCCATTTCTCTGCCTCCCTCCCTTCCACTCTCTATATAAATTTTTTTAAAAATCAATGTATCTTCGGGTGAGGATTAACAAACAAATAAAAATAAATGGAAAAAAAAAAAGAAATGGCCATAAGACTAAATAGGCCGTTCTTCAAAGAGGACATACATGTGACCAATAGACATGAAAAAACGCTCAACATCATTAATCATCAGAGAGATGCAAATTAAAACAACAATGAGGTATCACCTAACACCTGTCAGAAAGGCTACTATCAATTAATCAACAAATGAGTGCTGGCATGAATGTGGAGAATAGGAAGCCCAAGAGCATGGTTGGTGGGAATGTACACTGGTACAGCCACTGTGGTAAACAGTATGGAATTTACTCAAAAATTTTAAAATGGAACTACTGTTTGACCCAGTGATACCACTTCTAGGAATATGTCCTAAGAAGCTCAAAACACCAATCAGAAAGAATATATGCACCCCTATATTCATAGCAGCATTATTTACAATAGCTAAGATCTGGGAACACCCCAAGTGCCAATCAGTAAATGAGTGGATAAAAAAAGCTAGTACATTTACACAGTGGAATACTATGCAGCTGTAAAAAAAAGGATTTCTTTCTATTTTTGACAGCATCAATGGAATTGGAGAATATTATGCTGAGTGAAACAGACCAGTAAGAGAAAGACAAATATCACATGATCTCACTTGTAAGTGGAATGCAATGAACATAATAAACTGACAAATTAAATAGGTCCAGAAGCATAGAGGCATGGAACAGACTGACAGATCTCAGAGGGAAAGGGGGGGGGGGCGGGTCAGGAAGAAATTAACCAAAGAACTTATATACATATATGCATAACCAATGGACACAGACAATAGTGTGAAGAAGGCATGGGGTGGGGCAGGGGCTGAGAGGAGGGAGTAAAGGGGGGGGATTGTGGGACATCTGTAATACTGTCAATAATAATGATGAAAACAAAATCCTGCCACCCTCTGGCCTCAACATCCACCTCTGTAGAATGGGGATCACCAAGGTACCTACCCCATGAGGACAACGCATTAACATACTTAAATTATAGCAGTTAGAGTCATGTTCTCCGAGTTCCTGTGTCCCTTCCTGTCAGTGCTGCCTGGATGGCCTCCTAGAACTGCAACCCAGGTGCCACCAGCATCACTGCAGCTCATAAAGGAGCCAAGCCCAGCAGGGGCGCTGCTGTGGCCCCATGGGCAAGCGGTTACAGCAGGAGCTGATGATCTGTAAGATGTCTGACAAAGGAATTTCTGCCTTCCCTGAAACAGACAACCATTTCAAATGGGTGGGGACCATCCATGGAACAGATGGCAGAGTATACAAAGACCTGAGATATAAGCTCTCCCTAGAGTTCCCCAGTGGCTAGTCATTGAATGCACCCATGGTGAAATTCCTCATGCCCTGCTACCACCCCAATGTAGACACTCACGGTAACATCTGCCTAGACATCCTAAAGGTGATCTGCCCTATATGATGTCAGGATCATCCTGCTCTCCATCCAGAGCCTGCTAGAAGAACCCAATATTGGTAGCCCATTGAACACACATGCTGCAGAGCTCTGAAAAAACCCCACAGCCCTTAAAAAACCTAAGCAAAGGAGGTCTTGCCAGGAGCCCTAACCCAGGCTGTCCAGCCTCTCTCCATGTGCTGTCCTTTTATTTATTCCTTAGACGGTCTGTCCTTGCCTTGATTTCTGTATAGGACTCTGTATCTTCTGTTGTGGCGTCATATTGTGTTTGTTTTTAAATTAAGTCTCTGGCTGATCCCCTGTGATGAATATATTAAATAAATAAATTATGGGTTAAAAAAAGATATTTAAATTATAATCTACAGTCAGACTTGGGTTTAAAACTGAGCTGTGACTGTTCCCACTGAGGGATGCCTCAGTATCACCCTCTGGAAAGAGATGGGGTTCATTATCTGCCACGCACGGGGGCTGTTTTGAGACTCAGCTGCTTCCTCTAATGACACATTTATTAAGCACTTGCTGTGTGCCAGGCTCTGGCTGTGCCTGGTCTGTGTGCCCGTTTGCTCATCTGAGAGACAGAGCTCATATGTAGAAAGACTGGAATGAGAGCACATGGGCCCAGCTCCCTGCATGGTACCTGGCACGTGCCCAATGCTAGAAGCCTGTGAGCTGTGGTGACCTGTGCCCGCCCATGTCCTGTCATCACAGCGGTTGCTATTTAAAGCATCTAGCACTGGTCTTGCACACAGCCCTCTTTGGAATTAAATAAAGCTGGGCTCTAACCCTGGCTCTAGGGCCTTGGACACACTTTCTCCACCTAAGCCTTGGTTTGCCCATCTGAAAAATGGGCTCACCGTGGGCACTCAGCAGATGCAGCAACAAGCACCCAGCAGAGCCGAGGACTTAGAGGCGAGGTGTAAAAGTGTTGGGGCGAGCGTTCTTAGCTCGGCTTGGTGGCAATGTCCTCACTCCCTGGAGGGTCATCCGACCAACCAACCCCTCAGATTGTGACACCCCTCCCCCACCTATGACCTCCCCCTCTGAGAGGCCAGTGGGAACCTTGAGGGGTCTGTGAGGTCACTGCATTCCGCTCCACAGAGACTCTTGTGGGGCAGGAGCTACTGGCTTGTCTCTGTCCCAAGGAAGCTTCTAAGTCCTTGTGACTCGAGAGCTGTGATCAGACAAAGTTCCTGAGAGGGACACGGAGCGTTGGGGACCAAGGACACTCTATGTGCTGACCTGGGGAGGCCAGAACCAGGGGCAAAAGCCTTGAGGGCAAGCGCAGTGTTATTCAGCAGTTTCAGGAGGCCCAAGAAGCCCATAGCCAGACTCAGAAACTGTCACTGCCACCAGGCCACCATGATCATTGGCTGGCTACTGCTTTTCATGATGGCTCCACCCCAGGGCACGACAGGTGCGAAGATCTGCATCTTCTGTGAGCCGACTGACTCCTCAAACTGCCCCGGCTTCCCCATGACCTGTGGTGACCACGAAGAGTGCTTTGTGGGCCATGGTACGGCCCCTGGCTTCAGCCCGGTTATCAACAAAGGCTGCACACAACCCACGTCTTGTGGCCGTGAGGAGAGTATTACCTACCAGAGTGTCAACTACAGCTTCATCTCCACCTGCTGCTATGGCCAACTGTGCAACAGGGCTCCCACCCCCTCAGGCAGCATGATTGTCTGGGCCACCATCAGCCTGCTGCTGGGCGTGCTGCTGCTTCACTGACTGTGACCAGCATGACTGGTCTCAGGGTTCTGCTGCTCCTTGTGCTCCTTGTACCCCCTGCCTTCTCCCTCTTCTCCTATTAAATGGCCAAAGGCCCTAACAACTGCTTGTTGCCCTGGCTCCATCTATTCAAGGGCAGTCCACCAGGACCCAGGGCTCCACCAAGCACCCTGAGGCCTGATTTAGTGGTGGGGACCATGCCCAGTGGGTTTGAATGTACTACTGTATGCCATTGGTTCTAACACACATTATCTTTCACATTTTGATCAGGATGCTTCCTTTCATAGGTGGCACCTTAGAGTCTATGAATATTAATAAATTATAGCTTATGGAAGTGGGGTAGAGACTGACAATCCCCAGAAAGGGGGGTGGTTGGGGAGAGATACAGAACTTATATGCATGCATGTACGAACAGTGGACATGGACAACAAAGATGAGGACAGGGAGGGTGGAATCAGTGGGGGGAAAAGGAGAAACATCTGTAGCAAAAATGAAATAATTAAAATAAAAAATAAAATAAAATATTCAAGGGGAAAAAAAAAGACAGCTTATGTTTATGGAAAAATATTACCATAACCTAGAATGAATTTGAGCTGTCATAGAGTAACTGGGACTGAAGTGGGGATTTATAGGTAGTGGAATTGGCAGAGAAACTGTAGACAGAGGAAGTAAGTTTTAGAGATGACAGATGGGAAGGAAATGGTGAGAAGGAGCTAGTCTAGGGACACTCAAGACATAAAAGACAGGGATCATGTATGCCCTGGCTACTTTGTTTCAGTGGTTCGAGCATTGGCCCATGGACTGAAGGGCCACCGGTTCGATTCATGATCAAGGGCACATACCTTGGCTGCGAGTTCTACTCCTAGCCCCGGTTGGTGGTGTGTGGGAGAAAAACTATCTATTTGTCTCTCTCACATCCATGTTTGTCTCCCTCTCTCCCTCCCTCCCACTCTGTCAAAAAAAAAATCAATGGAAAAGTATCCTCGGGTGAGGATTAACAAAAACAAAATAAGCAAATAAAAGACAGGGACCATGAAAAATCGTATAACATGCTAGTCTAGTCAAACCTCAAGATAGTATTTACAAGTGGAGAAATGACAGGAAGTTCTTTTCTGTAGAATGCTTTTGTCAGGGTATACATGGTCTCTCTAAGCTGCTAATAGAAAATATACCTGATGTTTAGTTTTTTAATCTTTTTGTATTCATTGATTTTAGAGAGAGAGGAAGGAAGAGGGAGAGAGAAATGGACACATCGATGAGAGAGAACATCAACTGGCTGCCTCCTGCATGCCCCCCACTGGGGATCGGGCCCACAACCTGGGCATGTGCCCTGTCCAGGAATTGAACTGGTGTCCTCTTGGTGCATGGGTCAATGCTCAACCACTGAGCCACACAGGCCAGGCCGAACCTGATGATTTTTAACGTAGGAGGCATAGCATCCTGGAAAATGTCCATGTTATCTATAATGCAGATGTTTATGACTGAAAGAGCTGCCTTTGTGTAACTGATGCCTCACGTGCATTACGTAGACAACTTATATGTACATTCTGATGTGAGTCACATACTAGTAACGAAAGGAGGAACCCGAGAGTTGTACGGGCAGTCTCGGACTTCTCCATGCTTCATCTGAGTCCATCCGTTTCCTGGGTGCTTACAGTTACTAGTCAAGTTTGGTGCATGGTGAAATCTGTAGTTCTAAAGAGTCGGATTTAACAATCTGACCTTGTAAGTTACCTCAGTAGCATAAATGGTTCATGTAGCAGAGAGGGGGTGGAGCACATCCAGTGAGGCAAGGACTTCTAGTTGATGTGATGAAAGGCAGTTGTCAGAAAAGGGAGACACAATGGATTTTTGGAGAGTTTTAAATGTGCGGTTTGGGGATTGGGATTTCATTCCATAATCAGGGAATGATACTGGTGGATGAAAGAGGGTGATGTGCTTCAACGCAGTAAAACAGCATGTAGGACAACAGGAAAGAGATGAGATGTCAGGTGAAAGGTCCTCTAGATGACTGTGCTGAGTCAGGCCAAAGGGAATAGAACACTGGGAAGGCTTGAACAGATGATTAAGAAATTATACTTAAGACAAACAGTTCTGAGAGATTCCTTGGTTATAAAATGAGTTCAAAGTAGTTTTCACACTGGGTGAAAGGTGCTGCCTGGGACAGTGACGGGCAAGTTTAGCGTTAGTTTGACAGAGGATGAATGCTAAGGACCCATGCATGACAGGAGCTCATGGAATACACAAGTGCACACACACTCTCTCTCACACATATATACACATAATCCACACTTGGAAACGTAGGGACATACACACGATCTCATAGTGTGAACCAGCGACCAAGGCAATTACCAAGTCCTCTGCGAGTGAACACAGTATGTGGAGAACCTACTCATGACGGAAAGGAAAACCGCAAAATCACAGGAGCGGTCCCAGTGATCTCTCTCCTATTCTCCTTCCTCTGGTTTCAAAGTGTGACACATGGGAATAGTCAAATATTATATTATTGACTCATTTTGAATCATGCATTTTCTGTACCAAGGCCCTAGTATATTTGTTCCTTCTCTTGTTTTCAAGGGAAATTTCTGAGGTGTAAGTTGAGACTGAAAACATCATGTGAGCCCTGGCTGGTTTGGCTCAGCGGTTAGAGCGTCGCCCTGTGGACCAGAGAGTCCCGGGTTCGGTTTCCGCTAAGGGCACGTACCTTGGTTGCAGTTTGTCCTCGGCCCCGGTTGGGGTTGTGTGGGTGGCAACCACTCGATGTGTCTCTCTCACATTCATGTTTCTCTCTCTCTTCCCTCCTCTTTCCCCCTGCTCTTTCTGAACATAAATGCAAAAAAAAAAAAAAAAAAAAATTCCTCAGGTGAGGATACGGAAAAAAAAAAAAAAAAAAAACATCGTTTGAAGCAAACCATGCGATAGTGCCACACTCTGGCTGCAGCACCTTGTTCTTCACTCCATCTTTTTTTTTTTTTTAAATCCTCACCCGAGGAAGAGAAAGAAGGAGGGAGGAAGAGAGAGAGAGAGGAACACAGGCACAAAAAATAAAAATGACAACAAATAAGTACCTATCCTTAAATGTAAATGGCTTAAATGCTCCAATCAAAAGACACAGGGTAGCTGAATAAATAAGTAAAAATCAATGACATAGAGACTAAAAGAAATACAAAAGATCAATTAAACCAAGACCTGGTTCTTTGAAAAGGCTAACAATATTGATGAACATTTAGCCAGACTCACCAAGAAACAAAGAGAGAGAACCCAACATTAATAAAACCAGAAACAAAAGAGGTGAAGTAATAACTGATACCACAGAATTGTAAGAAAATACTTTGAACAATTATAGGCCAACAAACTGGAAAACCTAGGTGAACTGGACAAATTCCTAGAATCATGCAATCTTCCAAAGCTCAATAAAGAAGAGTCCAAAAACCTGAACAGAACATAACGACTAAGGAAATTGAAGCAGTAATCAATCAACTTCCAGAAAAAAAAAAAAAAGCCCTGGTATGAGTGGCTTCACAGGAGGGTTTTAACAAATATTCAAAGAACTAACACCTATTCTCTTTAAGAGAAAGGAAGACTTCCAAGTTCTTTTTATGAGGCCAGCATAATCCTAATTCCAAAATCAGAAAAAGACACTACAAAGAGAGAAAATTACAGGCCAATATCCCTGATGAACATAGATGCCAAAATCCTCAACAAAATATTAGCAAATCAAATCCAGCAATATGCTAAAAAAATTATTCACCACAACCTAGGGGGATTTATCCCTGGATGCAAGGCTAGTACAATATTTGCAAATGAATAAATTTGATAGATCACATAAACAAAATGAAAGATAAAAATCATATAATCATATCAATAGATGCTGAAAAAGCATTTGACAGAATAAAGTATGGTAAAAACTCTCAGTAATGGAGGAATAAAGGAAACATAACTCAATATAATCAAGACCACATATGACAAACCCACAGCCAACATCACATACTCAATGGGCAAAAATTAAAAGCATTTCTCTTAAAAACAGGAAGAGAGGGATGCCCACTTCGCCACTCTTATTTAACATAGTACTGGAAGTCCCAGCTACAACAATCAGACAAGAAGAAAAAAATAAAAAGCATCCAAATTGGAAAGGAGGAAGTGAAACCGTCATTATTTGTAGATGACATGATAGTGTACATAGAAAATCCTAAAGACTCCACCAAAAAACTACTACATTGTTTTTAATCCTCACCCGAGGATATTTTTCCATTGATATTTTTTTTTAGATAGAGTGGGACAGAGGGAGGGAGGGAGAGAGAGAGAGAGAGAGAGAGAGAGAGAGAGAGAGAGAGAGAGACATCAGTGTGAGAGAGACACATCAATTGGTTGCCTCCTGCATAAACCCCTGGGGATCAAACCACAACTGGGGTCCACAACTGGGGTCCACACCCTTGACCAGGAATCAAACACACAACTCTTCAGTCTGCAGGCCAATGCTCTAACTGCTGAGCCAAACCAGCCAGGGGAAAACTACTAGATTTAATAAATGAATTTGGCAAAGTAGCAGGATACAAAATTAACAACCAGAAATCAATGGCATTTTTATACATCACTAATGAATACTCAAAAGAGAAAAATGTTTAAATCCCATTTACCATTGCAACAAAAAAATTAAGATACCAAGAAATAAACTTAACCAAGGAGGTAAAAGACCTGTTCTCAGAAAACTACAGGACATCAAAAAAAAAAAAAATAGAGGAAGATATAAAAATGTGGAGGCATTTACCATGTCCATGAATTGGAAGAACCAATATCCTTAAAATTACCATTCTACCCAAAGCAATCTAGAGATTCAATGCAATCCCTATTAAAATACCAACAGCATATTTCACAGATCTAGAACAAAAACTACAAACATTTATATGAAACCAAAAAAGAACCCGAATAGCCACAGCAATCTTGAAAAAGAACAAAGTAGGAGGAATCACAATACCAGATATCAGGTTATACTACAA